GCTATGCTTGCCCATGGCTGGTGGGGAGAGGAGGGAGCCACTCACCCTGCCCCTTCCAGCCCAGGGGCCAGAAGGGGCCGGAGAGGGGGAAGAACTTTCATGTCCCTATTCCTACCTCACCCCAACCCTCCACTTTTGTCCCTCCACATAGTATGGCAGGAACCCGCCCCTCTATGCCTTCCAAAGCTTCTCAAGTCATGTGGGTTTTTTTCTGTCAGTTTGTTTTTTGGTGTGCATGGGTTTTTTTGTTTTCTGGGTTTTGGTTTTTGTTTTTTTTGCATGTCTGTTTTAAAAAAGAAAGCAACAGCCTACAGCACTGTGCATATCCCTTAGCCTGGGTGAAGGTGCCAAGGTCACACAGGAAAAGCACATCTCAGATCCCCACTAAGACACAAAGAAAAGTCTTGGTCCTTTGAGAAAACACACATAAGGCTACTAAATGGAGTTGTCTCTGCTAGCTAATCCCCACTTTCTTCCCACTTAGATGCCCCAGCCCAGCCTCACACTCACCTTTCTTGACAGCATTGACCTCCAAGGGTTTCAGCCCCAACTTTGCGCGGAGTTTACTGAAGACAAGAGATAGCAGTATTAGGGTTTACCTAAGAAATGGGGCAACAGGGCATTTATAGATCGGCAGGAGGTGGAGACAAGGTGAGAACGAGTAGTTCTAAGGGCCATACGCACAGGCCCTAATCCCTGCAGCCTAGGGCATGAAGACACGGGCTTCCAGATCAGGGAATGCCTAACAGGAGGAGCCCATCCTTCATCCTGGGTCTCAATTTCCTCCACTGTAGCTCCCTTGGTTGGCTGGCCATTCCAACTCTAATTGGCTCCATTTAGAGGGGAAAAGTTTCTGTGGGTGACAGCCCCAGGTGCAACCAGTCTCAGAGGAAAAATAGGACAACATACGGGCTACTCACTTGGTCTCCTCAATGCTAAGTGATGAGGCATCTCCAGAGCTAGTTTTGGAGCTGGCAGCTAGAACAATAAGAGGCATGGCTTAAGGGACCCATGAACATGGGACCAAGAAGCAACACTGTGGGCTCCAGCTGCAAGGTGGAAGACAAGGGCCCCTCACCAGCACCTGGGCAGATGACACTAGAAAACAGCAGCCTTCTTTCCCCCTCCCTGAGCTCCCCAGCAGCTGCTACCCAGGCCCTTGGCTATCAACACTGCCTCTTCCAAAACCCTTCTTTCTGACCCAAGCGATTCCTCTTCCGCATCCCTCACTGGGCCACTCCAAATCTCACACCCCACCTTCAGCCTCCACTGTCCCTTCTGCTCGTCCTCATACAGTTCTAGTAAAGATCAAACATCATCTCCTCCATGAAGCCCTGGTCAATTACTGACCAGAATTAAAACTAACTGCACAGCACGGTTTGTCATCCCTGGTACTTTCTGCTCACAGCAGTGTATGCAGTCAAGGAATACTTACTAATGTGTGTTCCATGCCAGATGTTGTGAACATAGGTAAGTAAACACTCTGGACCTGCTCTACCCACCCCACAAACAGGAGAGAACTTCAACAAACACCACACAGAGAAAGACACCACCAGGACACCCAAAGTCACCCTGACACACACTACACACAGCGCATCTCCTGTTCTTTAAACCCAACAGGTCCCTTCCTCCTCCACCTAGGCTCTGGACCCCATTTTCTTTCCTTTTTTTTTTTTTTTTTTAAGATTTATTTATTTATTATGTATACAATGTTCTGTCTGCATGTATCCCTGCAGGCCAGAAGAGGGCACCAGATCTCAATACAGGTGGTTGTGAGCCACCATGTGGTTGCTGGGAATTGAACTTGGGTCCTCTGGAAGAGCAGTCAGTGCTCTTAACCGCTGAGCCATCTCTCCAGCCCTGGACCCCATTTTCTAAATAAACTCTGAAGCCCCAAGTCTCCCTTTTTCCAATTAGCAGGTTATTTTCAAAAAGTTTCAATTTGAGGGCTGGAGAGATGTCTCAGTGGATAAGAGCACTTGCTGTTCTTACAGAGGACCCAGGTTTGGTTCCCACAATACTATATGGCAGCTCACAACCATTTAACTCAGTTCCAGAAGACCCAATGGCCTCTTCTGACCTCCACAGGCACCAGGCATGCTCAAGGTGTATATTTACACATGAAGGTAAAACACTCAACTACATAAACTAAAAACAATCCTTTGTTTAAAAGTTCTGGTTTTTGCTTGATGCCCTGTGGTATGTGACACTGTTAATTACTCCATCCTCTCAGCAATTATGTCTTCGCACAGATCCTATGACCCAACTGTGGTTCCCCACACCATTTGGCTACTCTATTTTTTGAGTATGTTCCTCTGCCCACAGTTGAGCTACTGGTATTCCTCAAGCTCTATTTCTGACCCTAGTTCTCACTCCACACATTCTAGGGCACTTCTTTGGTTTCCTGAATACACACTAGCCCCAATCACTCTATTCCACTTAAACTGTAGGTTTTCCCACGCACACCAACCACAAAGCTCTTCCAAACTGTGTGATTCTCCCTTGCCTCCAATGTGCTAATCTTCTAAACGCAATTTCAACAGAGGAACACCATTTCACCAGGCCGATAAGGCCAAAACTCAAGGAGTCATTCCCTATTCCTCAACTCTCCCATCCTCAGCCCAGGCACTAAATTTGTTCATTCCACTTCCTAAACACCCATTCAACCTGTCCATTTCTCTCCACCCCATTGCACGAAGAAATATGCATACTATCAGTCTTCACCTGGTTGGGTTGACCTCTCTCCCAATCTCTGGGTCTCTAGTCCTATTTCTGGCAAGCTCTCAACCCAGTGACCTTCTTAAAATATGAAGTAAATCAACGCACTTCCCTACTCAAACCCTTGGTTCCCTACCATCTTCATTATAAAGCCCAAATTTCTCAACAGGGCTTACAGCACAGGGTCCTTGGTGTTCAGACCCAAGCGTGTGTTACTGCTTCATGACGCTACCATGAGCCCAACACGATTCGCCCAATGTCAGGTTTCTCTCGCCTCTGTCAGTGCATGCTCGTACCTCCCTTCATTCACCCACCCAACGCATTTACTGTGAAGTGTCAGACGGAGAGGGAAACAGTTGACCCCAGACTTCATGAAGCTTAACAAGGGGAGTCCGTCCTTAATCCCCAACAGCCAGAGGAAGTCTTTAGCACAAGCGGCAGAAGGCCCCCAGGTCACTCTGCACCCTCCGTCCCGCGCACCCCCAAGACCCTGGCCCGCCCCGCCCTCACCGGCCTCGTAGCCGTCATCGCGTTTCTCCCTCTTCACGCGCCGCTCCGCGGGCTCCGCTTGACTTCGTTCGCGACCGTGCGCCCCGCCGCGGGCCTCGGCTTCGGCCCCGCGCCTCCCGCTCCCGCGCTCGGCCCCACGCTCGCGGCTCCGCTTCCGTCGTTCGCCGCCGCTGCTCCCGCCGCCGCTGCTCCGGTGCTTGTGTTTCTTGTGCTCTCGATGCCGCGGCGGCTGCTCGGTGGCGCCCCCGGTACCCGCTGCCGCCGTCGTCCCGGCCGCCTCCTTCTCTCCGCGGTGCTTCTTTGACGACCCCATGATTAGTGCGTTCGTCTGGAGCCGGGCCGCCACCCGAGCCCAGACGACGCAAAATGGGAATACTTCCGGGTCGCGCGACCGCCGCTGTCCTGTTGCCGGAAACTAAGAGCGGCTGTTTCCGGGGCCTGCCTGGGACCCTCCAAAGGCTCATGGGAAAGACTGATCGAGACTGCGCGTTCCCGACGGCCGGGTGTGGACTCTGCGCATGTGCACCTGTAGAGGCTACGGAAGCAACCTTATCTCCCTCGGGTCAGACAGTTGTTCTCGGGCTGTAAGAACTTTAGAATCTTACTAAGCCACCATCTCCGGACTAGAGGCTCTTTCCCTGCCTCCTTTCCCTTCCACTCTGATAGCCTCGTGGTGCTCTCAGTCTCTCCGTGGGCGGGCCCCTCTCCAGTGATGTCCTTGTAGGCTCCCTGGGGCCGGGGTACCACCCTGTGTTGGAAGATACCGCAGGTTTTTTTCATGAAGAAACCAGCTCCAGCCGGGCGGTGGTGGCGCACGCCTTTAATCCCAGCACTCGGGAGGCAGAGCCAGGCGGATCTCTGAGTTCGAGAACAGCCTGGTCTCCAAAGCGAATTCCAGGAAAGGCGCAAAGCTACACAGAGAAACCCTGTCTCAAAAAACCAAAAAAAAAAAAAGAAAAAGAAAAGAAAAAAGAAACCAGCTCCAAAGGCCTAGCCTTGCAACCCCAATAAACCAGTATTGCCAGCGAATGCTACCGTCGTCCCACGTTCCCTGGATTGGTGGGTTGGGCCTTTTTAACCTGCGCTCTGGACTGCTAAGGAACGCTTTATGAATTTGTGCCTGTGAACCCCGTGAAATTTGAGTGCTGTTTTTTGTTTGTTTCCAGTTTTCTTTTTCTTTCTTTTTTTTTTTTTTTTTCTTTTTAAGATAGGGTCTATATAACTTTTGTTGGCCTGCTACTTGTTAGGTAGCCCTGGCTGGTCTCAAACCCACCATAGTCCCTCTGTTTCAACCTCCCGTGTGCTGAGAGTCGCTGGGATTTCAGGCGTGCACGTCCACGCCAGGCTTGAGTGCAAATTTGGCATATCCGTTTTTCTTTCTTTTCTTTGTTTTGTTTTGTTTTTCGAGACAGGGTTTCTCTGTGTAGCTTTGCGCCTTTCCTGGAACTCACTCTGTAGCCCAGGCTGGCCTCAAACTCACAGAGATCCACCTGCCTCTGCCTCCCGAGTGCTGGGATTAAAGGCGTGCAATACCACCGCCCGGCATTTTTTTTTTTTTTAAATAAGGCTATGCCGATAATTATGTGGTCCCAGTCTGTGATTACAGGCACAAGCCACCATGTCTTGCTTTCCTAGCCCTTTCTCTAGTTGATTGCTTGTTTGGTTTGGTTGCTTTGTTTTGGTCTTGAGGAGAGGGGATTTTTTTTTTTCTTTTCTTTCTTTTGGTTTTTCGAGACAGGGTTTCTCCGTGTAGTTTTGGTGCCTGTCCTGGATCTCGCTCTATAGACCAGGCTGTCCTCGAATTCACAGAGATCCTCCTGGCTCTGCCTCCTGAGTTCTGGGATTAAAGGCGTGGGCCACCGCTGCTCAGCGAGAGGGGCTTTTAAGTTAAAGGTTCACACACTCACTCCCTTCTGATAGTAGTTGCTCCTCTCCGCTTCCTGTGAAGTACATCTCGGCATGTTTTGGTGTGGTTTGCATGCTCCTTTAAAGCTCCACTCCAAGACTGGGAGTCCTCAGAGGCAGGGTCCTGTTCCCTAGGATTTCTAGGTCCCCAGGTATATGTATGTTAGAGAAAGCACGGAAAAGCCTCAGCTGATTGCTTTCCAGGTGCCTCACTCCTCAGTAGCAGAGACAGCATGTGTTTGCTGAAGAAGGGGTGCAGCCAGGGTTCCCAGCCTAAGTGGGAAACAGCTAAGGCTAGGCCACCCACATGCCACTACCTCTCCCCTATCACATAGCCAACTCCACTCAGAAATCTCACACTGAACTTGCCATAAAGTCTTTAATTTTTATCTCAGGGACTGTGTGCTGGTTCCAGGGTGGGAGAGGGGAGTCTTCCAGGCTGGTCGCTGGTGTGTTCTATCTTTGGGGAGCTCTGAGAAGAGGGCTCCATATCTACTCCAAATGACCGGTGGCTCCTTAAAGACACAGATGGAGGCCAATGGGCTCCATAGCACCCCACCCCATACCCAAATGCAGCCTTTTACCCTGTGGGTCCAAATCTAACTTACACTGGGCTGCTGTGAGTCCCTGGGAAGGGACACCCCTCCTGCAGTGTCAAGGTGTTTTGTGTTTTACTGTGAAGTGAATCTTACAATCCCCGCTCTGTACCAGATCACTTATTCTAAGGTGTCAGGGACAGTGTGCATAGGGTCACAGTGTGGCACCTGCTGCTTGGCCTGCTCAGAGCCCCAGACTAGCTTTGCTGCTTATTTGTCCCTGTGTCCTGAGTAAGGTCCTACTCCTCTGGTCATACTGGAGGTGGGAACAGTAACTGGCCCACCTTCCTGGGTGACATGGAGAACACTGGAAGGACCAGACGCTGGTGTGGATACCTTGTCCTACCTCACCTGTGTTTCTGGGCGATTCCCTCTGCATTGCCTGCCTCAGCCAGCAGCTGTTCCTCATCTACTCCCAATGCTGACAGCACCTGGGAGAAGCGCCGATTTACTGTGAGCCTGGCGTTGGTCTGATGAGAGAAAAAGAAAGGTTCCTATTCTTCACCAAGGCTGCTGGGGGCACTGTGGGGCTCTGATTATTAAGAAAGGGGTCTCCCTCACCTGCATGGCCTGCTGGAACAGGAAGGGCCGGGCTTGCACCCTGTGCTGGATACCCTGCAGCTCTGCCTGGTACTCAGCAAAACGCTGTCGCTCTTTGCGCCTGTGAAAAAGACGGGCCTCTGGGCAGCTGAACATGGACACTCCCCAGGCCAGAGGCTCCCGGTCTTCATTGAAGCTTATTAATATAAAGGTTTCCCCTGACTTACAAAACCATTTCATTCCCATTCTGGCCCTGTATTTCTTCCCCCCGCCCCCTGTATTTCTTGTGTGAGATTATTAGGGTGGGACTTATTTGTCCCATTTTACTGATGGCTCAGGAAGGTCACAGGGACTCGTCCAAAATTGTAGGATCGAGCACCTGTCCCAAGTTTAGGCTGTTTATCCAGGGCTTACCCTACCTTCTGGCCAAAGGAGGGACCAGCCCTGGCTCCTGAGCTCCTGCTTGCACAGCCTCCCCCTTCCTAAATCATCTCCCTATTCTCCCCCTCTTGCAGCTTATTGCAAATAAAAGAACATCTCCCAAAGCTGGACCTGGTGGCTAACATTTGGGAAGCTGAGGCAGAGGAGAACTGCCTGAATTCAAAGCCAGTCTGGGCTACGGAGTAAGTTCCAGGCCAGTGTGGATTGCAGAGTGAGACTCTATCAAAAACAAAAGAAAGATCTGGGCTGCACTGGAGAAAAACTCTTTACAAAAATCAGTTTGAGGATGTTTGGATGGCTCAGCAGGCCAGTGTGCTTGCCACAGTGGCGGCTGGCAGCTTTGGTCGACGCTCCAGAGCCCACGGACCTGTCCTGTAGCTTCCATGTCTGCACTTTGACGTGCCTGTAATCCCAGCATCCATCGGGCAGAAGTGTTGGGATAATCTTTTTGTACACTGTGTGAAAATGTGTCTCTAGCGTCACCTGCCTAAGGCACCTTCTGATTGGTTTAATAAAGAACTGAACAGCCAATAGCTAGGCAGGAGAGGATAGGTGGGACTTCCAGGCAGAGATAGGAACTCTGGGAAAGAATCTGAGGTGGGAGATTCACCATCCAGACACAGAGATAAGTTGGACATACAGTACTGAGGAGAGGTAACGAGCCACGAGGCAGAACGTAGATTAATATAAATGGGTTAATTTAGGTTATAAAAGCTAGGTGGAAACAAGCCTAAAAGCTAAGGCCAAACTTTCATAATTAATAAAAAGTCTCTGTGTCGAGGCAGGTGAATCTCTGTGAGTTCGAGGCCAGCCTGGGCTACAGAGTGAGTTCCAGGAAAGGCGAAAAGCTACACATCGAAACCCTGTCTCGAAAAAAAGAAAAAAAGAAAAAAGAAAAAAAAAGTCTCTGTGTCATTGTTCAGGAGCTGGCAGTCCAAAGAAAGACCCATTATGCAAAAGTAAGATCAGAAGTTATCCTTTGCTACACAGTTCTAGACCAACTTGGCTTACCTGAGACTGCAAGTCTGCTCACCCAGCCCAGTGTTACACTGCCTTTTAACCTCACTCCTCACAGGACTAGGTATCTGTCAGTTAATGCACATAAGACATGCTCAGCATGAGGTGGCAGAACCCACAGAAGGAATGAAAGGGATGAGCAGACAAGATCTGAAACTTGTTCTAGGCTCTCAGGCATGTACATTGGACACCTGTGGGAAAGCCCTCCCATATTAGGACAGGTGCCAGGGAAGGAAGCTTCCTTCCTGGAGGAAATTCAAAATTCAAAACATCCACTGGGAAAACCATGCCAGGACCACAGCACCGTTAAGAAATCTTCACCAATCAAGAGAGACTTCCAGTGGTCCCAGGTGTGGAGGCAGTCTTGAGCGGCGTCAGGGCTACTGCCTTTTGCATGATGTCCTGAGGTTTTCTTGCTGTATAGTTTTTGTTTTGTTTTTTTGAGACAGGGTCCCACTATGTAAACCAGACTAGCCTGGAACTCCCTCCAAAGAGCTGCGACTGAAGGAATGTGCCACTGTGCAAAACCATCTTATATTTTTTAGACAGGGTCTCTCACTGAACCTGGAGGTCACCAATTTGGCTAGACTAGGTGGTCAGCAAGCCTCCCAAGCACTGGGATTGTGGGTGCACACAGCTGCACATGGGTTCACTTTGTTGATTTTTATTTAAAAAAAAAAATGAAGCTGGGCGGTGGTGGTGCATGCCTTTAATCCCAGCACTTGGGAGGCAGAGCCAGGCGGATCTCTGTGAGTTCGAGGCCAGCCTGGGCTACCAAGTGAGTTTCAGGAAAGGCGCAAAGCTACACAGGGAAACCCTGTCTCGAAAAAAAAAAAAAAAATGAATGCTAAGGACTCAGCCCAGGTCCTCATGCAGCAAGTACTCCACTGGCTAAACTGTCTCCCAAGCATCTATTTGTTTAGGTCTTAGAGACTGAATTGTGCTTTGTAGTCTAGGCTGGACCGAAATGCACAATCCTATTGTCTCAGCCTCCTAAATGCTAGGATTACAGGCGTATACCATCATGCCAAGCTTGTTTTGTTTTTGAGACAGTCTGGCTGTATTGCCCAGGCTGGACTCAAAATTCCAGATCTCAAGCTATCCCCCTGCTTCAGCTTTCTAAGTAGCTGGGATGATATGTGTGCACCATTATGCCCAACTTCTTGCTGGATATCTACTGTCATTTCTGTCAGAAAGGAAGTCCACACCAAAAAAGAAAAAAGAGAGAACTGGTGCCAGTAGATAACACCTCTGTCATTCCAAAGTACAGGATGACAGACCTCCTGCCACAGTGTCCCTCTACTTGGCCTCTCCTCCTGGGAAGCACGGTTGTAAAACTGGACCATCTCATGGGGAAGGAGTTCCTTTGTGGCACCTGCCCCAGGCAGGCCGGAAGACCGCCAGGGAAGGTCTACCTATGCCTTCACCCTGCAGGAAGACCGCCAGGGAAGGTCTACCTATGCCTTCACCCTGCAGGAAGACCGCCAGGGAAGGTCTACCTATGCCTTCACCCTGCAGGAAGACCGCCAGGGAAGGTCTACCTATGCCTTCACCCTGCAGGAAGACCGCCAGGGAAGGTCTACCTATGCCTTCACCCTGCAGGAAGACCGCCAGGGAAGGTCTACCTATGCCTTTACCCTGCAGGAAGACCGCCAGGGAAGGTCTACCTATGCCTTCACCCTGCAGGAAGACCGCCAGGGAAGGTCTACCTATGCCTTCACCCTGCAGGAAGACCGCCAGGGAAGGTCTACCTATGCCTTCACCCTGCAGGAAGACCGCCAGGGAAGGTCTACCTACGCCTTCACCCTGCAGGAAGCAGCAAGACTCTAGCACCCTTCTCATGTGCCTGTTGGCTGGAGAATAGGCCTTACTCTTACCACTTCCTGAAGAGCTAGAGCTAGCAGGGCATGCTGGCAGGTGTTGGTAATCTCAGCGCTCAGGAGACTAAGGCAGGCAGATTGCCACAAATTTGAGAGCAGTCTGAGCTATAGAAAGCCCTATCTCAAAAGAAGCACAGATGTGTGGGGGAGGTGCAAGATGGCTCAGTGAGTAAAGGTGTTGGCTGCCCTGCCTGAGGTCCTGAGTTCAATCTCCAGGACCCACTTGGTGAAAGGAGAGAGCTGACTTCTGCAAATTGTCATCTGAAGTGCTTTAAAAAGAAGTTACCAGGCAGTGGTGATGCACACCTTTAATCCTGGCACTTGGGAAGCAGAGGCAGGCAGATAGATCTCTGTGAGTTCAAAAAAGTTCCTTACAAGGAGAAACGAGGAGGCAACACATGTCCCTAAAAGACACTCTGTTCTGTAAAGTTATCTATGAAGTTGAGCTAGCCAGGTGTGGTGACACATGCCTTTAATCCCAGTACTAGGAAGGCAGAGATAGGAGGATCTCTATGAGTTTGAGGTCAGCCTGCTCTACATAGTGAGTTCCAAGACAGCTAGGACTACATAGAAAGATCCTGTCTTAAAATAGAAATAATAATACTAATAATTTAAAAATGAAGTAGGCATAACAAGACTGACTCAGCATAGGTGATCTGAGCCCTGCCAAGTCCTTGGTGCCTCTTCCTACATCTCCTGAGCCAAAGAAAACAAGCATGGAGAGGACCCCATAGGTGTTCCCGTCAGCGGCTTAAATGACTGTACTTCGTCACACTATCTATGTCATGAGGTTGAGCCAAAAAAAGAAGATTTGAAATCATGACTCTATGCAGAATGCTTTGAACTTGAGGATAATATCTGAAGGGGTTCCTATTAATAACTCAATGATCTTGACCCTGCCCTTCTCCAGGGGCCTCAGCATCTTCATTTGTAAAATGCAGCTAAGGGGTCTGGCCTGCTTTCTGTGGGGTCCTGCATCCTGACACCCAGCACACCCTCCCTGCCATGCCGCAGCCAGGCCCTTCAAAGCCTGGCCTCCTACCTCAGCTCCTCCAGTTTGCGCTGAGCAGCCAAGGCCCCTCTGTTCCCTCTGGGTGTGTAGGCTGCCAGACAGCGAGCTACCTGCTGCTGCACCTGATGCTCCCGAACCCTACGCATCTCGGCCTGCTGCCGCTCCTCCAGTTGCTGCTGTTCCCAGGCCTGCAGCAGGTTTCTGGGAAGGAAAGGGAGATGTCTATGGTGGATCAGGAGATTCAAGGAAGGTCAGAGAAGCATAGAGGAACATGTAAGCCTTAGGGGAGGGGCTGTGGGAGGAAGTATGTGTCTCAGAGAGCCAAGGGCCTGGGAAACAAATGGCATTTGTCATGGAATCCATGATTCCTGGAGCCTGCATATGGTGGCTTACAACCAGCTTAAGGCCTTAAGGCCTTACCCTATTCTTCAGCAGTGAGATCCAGTTCTTTGTTTGTTTGTTTTGGGTTTTTGTTTTTTGTTTTTGTTTTGTTTTTTTGGTTTTTCGAGACAGGGTTTCTCTGTGTAGCGCCTTTCCTGGGGCTCACTTGGTAGCCCAGGCTGGCCTCGAACTCACAGAGATCCACCTGGCTCTGCCTCCCAGTGCTGGGATTAAAGGCGTGTGCCACCATCGCCCAGCTGGTTTTGTTGTTTTTTGTTTTTTGGGTTTTTTGAGACAGGGTTTCTCTCTGTAGCTATGACTGTCCTAGAAGTCGCTCTGTAGACCAGGCTGACAGGCTGGACTCAAACTCAGAGATTCGACTGCCTCTGCTCCTGAGTGCTGGGATTAACGATATGTGCCACTACCGCCCGGCTTGAGATCCAGTTCTTAACACTTGGCTCAGGCCTTCCTCCTGAACACTGTAGAGCTCAGCTGAGGCCTCCTGAGCCCCGAGGAGGCCAGCACACAGCCTGGCACCTCCTGAGCCCCGAGGAGACAGACCAGCACACAGCCTGGCACCTCCTGAGCCCCGAGGAGACAGACCAGCACACAGCCTGGCACCTCCTTTTTCTGCATTGCTCACATGCCTTCCCAGTGTCTGTCTTTGAGAAAGGGCCAGATGTCTAACCACTTTACTTGACAGCAGCTAGGTTAATGCCTAACAGCTTGAGACATGGATGGATGGACAGTCAGATGCATAAATACGTGGGAAAGAATAAAAATGTCGAAAGAACATGTGGGCAAAAAGTGTGGATAGCTGAATAGCAGCTAGACAAACCTGGAACATTCTTCCCTGGATATCATGGCCAATGTCCTCTCATCAATCAAGTCTTTCCCTTGGCTACTCTATTTCCTTTCTAGGAATCTCTGTCTCTAGCTACATATTTTGTTCATTTCATTTCTTATATTCCCCTGGCTGGCCCAGAACTCTTTCTGTAACTGAGAGTGACTTTAAACTTCTGAACTTCATGCCTCCACCTCCACAGTACTGGGATTACAGGCTGCACCACCACATTGGGCTTTAAAGCTATCTTAACAGAAAAAAGACCTGGAAATATCATATGCTGATGTCATAAGAAACCATTAAACTGTCAGGCAGTGCTGGCGCACACCTTTAATCCCAGCACTCAGGAGGCAGAGACAGGCAGAACTCTGAGTTCGAGGCCAGCCTGGTCTACAAAGTGAGTTCCAGGACAGTCAGGGCTACACAAAGAAACCTTGTCTCGGAAAACCAAAGAGAGAGAGAGAGAGAGAGAGAGAGAGAGAGAGAGAGAGAGAGAGAGAGAGAGAGAGAGAGAAGAGAGGGACCTTGCCTCAAAGTGGTAGGAGAGAACCAGAGAACCAACCCCTGGACTATACATACACACCCACACTCACACAAAATAAACTTTAAAAAAGAAAATGATCAAAAGGTCAGGCATGGTGATGTACACCTGTAATCCTAGAACACGGAAGACTGAGGCAGGAGGATTACAGCAAGTTCAGTGCCAACTGGGGGGCATAGCTAGTACCAGACATAGTATTTGTGGCTAAATAGCAAGACTTGTCCCAAACAAAACAATTGAGAAATGCGAGCCATCGTCCACATGGGTGACAGGTGGAGAAATGGGAGCCCTTGTACACAGTAGATGGGAATATAAAAACAGTATAGAGGGGATGGAGAGATGGCTCGGACCCAGGCCCAATTCTCAGCACCCACCTGGGGTCTCACAGCCATCTACAACTCCAGTTCAAAGGAACAGATACCCTCTCCTGGGCCTCCAAGGGCACCAGACATGTATGTGGACATGCATGCAGACAAAACACTCATTCACATGAAATAAAGTAAATAAATCTTAGGGCTGGGGAGATTGCTCAGTAGTTAAGAGCACTGAGTGCTCTTCCAAAACACTTAGGTTCAATTCCTAGCACCTAAAAGCTAGCTAATTAATAACCAACTCCAGTCCCAGGAGATCCAATGCCCTCTTCAGGCCTTCCTGTGCATGAAGCACATGCACCAGCCATGCATGTGGTGCACAGACATACATGCAGTCAAAACACCCACACACACAAAGTAAAAATAAATTAACTTAAAAAATAATTTTTAAAAAAGTATAAAAAACAAACCAGCTAGGCATGATGACACATGCCTTTAATCTCAGCACTTGGAAGGCAGAGGCAGGCAGATCTCTGAGTTTGAGGCCAGCCTGGTCTACAGAGTGAGTTCCAGGACAGCCAGGACTACACAGAGAAACAAATCTATCCTACAATATGGTGACTATTATTTTTCACAACACATTTACTGTGTATTTGAAAATCACTAAGAGATTAAATTTTAGGTGTTCATAAAAAAAGTATGTGTGATAATATACATTTTAATTAGTTTGATGTAGCCATATATACACATAATTTTAAACTAATGAGGAGTAAATCTGTAAGAAAGGGTTATAGAGGGTACTCTGAGAATCTGGTGACCAAGGGTGGTGGTGCAGGTCTGTAATCTCAGCACCCAGACAGAGGCAGAAGGATCCAGAAGGATCAGGAATTCAAGGTAGCTCCAGCTACATGGTAAGTTCAAGGCCAACCTGAGATACATGAGACCAAGCTTCAGTCACCTCCCCTCATCAGAAAAAAATAATAACAATGCTGAGTGATTTGAATTTACCCCTCCCTCACATTCCACTTCTAATCAGTCCCCAAGGCTCATTAAGTCAGACTCTAAAAATCTCAGGGCTGCGGGCTGAAGAGATGGCTCAGAGGTTAAGAGTACTGAATGCTCTTCCAAAGGACCTGGGTTCAATTCTCAACACCCACATGGCAGCTCACAACTGTCTGTAACTCCAGTTCCATGGCAAAACACCAAATGCATATTAAAAAAATTTTTTTTAAAAATCTCAGGGCTGGGACAGCAAGATGGCTCAGCAGATAAAGGAGCTTGATAGCAGGCCTGACAGTGTAAATTCAATCCCAGAACCAGGTGGTAGGAGGAGAGAACTAACTCCTTCAAGTTGTCTTCTGACCTTCGCACCTATGCTGTGGTACTCATATGCTTGCACACGTAGACAGTAAGTAAATAAATATGATAAATTTTTTTAGATAGCATGGTTGAGGATATAGCTTAATATTAGAGCCTAGCATTCTCAAGTCCCTGGGTTTGATCTCCAGTTACACACACACACACACACACACACACACTCAAGTCCCTAAAGAACTCTGGAGTGAGCCCCCTTCTCTCTGTCCACACTGGCACCTGGTTCAGGCCCTCATCATCCCTTGGCCAACAGCTGCCTCCTCGCCTCCAGGCTTCTCTGAGCCCGCGGTCTCTTCTTCTAGCCCAAGTGTAGCAGCTGGAACTAAACATCCCTAAGCCACCCATCTCCTTTTGTAGACCTTGAACTTCTTGGGACTGACCCAAGTCTTGCTCCCTCCTATCCTGAGGACCCCCAGGAAGACACTCAATATATGTTACATTAATCGGCTGAAGGATGACTAGAAGAAAAGAAAGGACTGAGAAGTGTCATGTGTTCATACAGTAGGACAAACAGACAATGGACGTTATCAAGAGCAGGATGGATGGATAATCAGAAAGCCTGGTGAATGGGTCAAAGAATAAATGAACTCGAAAGAGAGTGTCATTTGTAAACTGGCCCCTTATCTACCCTCACCCTCAGCTCTGGCTCTCCTTCCTCTTCTTCCTCACCTAGTGGCCTGCTGTCGTTTATGGAAGGTGCGATTAGGGAAGTTGGCAGACAAGAAACTTTCATCATCCCCCAAAGTAGGGGTCTTCCTATTCCTGGTAGAGGCCTGGACAGCTGCCCGCAAAGCCTTCCAGGTCTGCTTTTCGGGACCTGTCCACAGGAAAATCAAGTCAGGGTCACACTCTCTCCTGGGTCACTGGGCAGTCCCAACCAGCACCCAGACAATCCCTAGCCCACCCCAGCCTCTACTAAATATCCCCACCACCGCCACCCCACCCCTCCATCTGAGTGCAGGTCTCCCACAGCTTCCAGGGACCTCAGGCTCCCCAGATGCACTCACCGCAATCCAATTCCTCCTGTAACTGCCTGTGTAACCGCTCCAGGTCCCAGGGCCCCTTCAGATCCTTGGCCATGGACTTGCCCCTCTGCGACTTTCGGAGGCTGTGGGAACTGGAGCTGCTTCCCTGGCTGGGACCCTGCAGCTCCCTTTCTTCAGATGCCTTCTCTCCAGAATTCCTCCCCTTATGTTGAGAGCTGCCCTTCCTCCTGTGGGGGGCGCTGTGTTCCTCCTCTGTCACCTCTGAGATCCATTCCTCCTCCAAGGTCAAGCCTTGCCCTGAGAGCTGGGGCAGTTCCCCAGGGCTCAGAACCCTCTCTGTCCCCTCAGCATCCTGGCCTTCCACCTCTGAGACATCCTCAGACTCTGACCCTGACCCTTTTCCTAGTGGCCAGAAGCCACCCTGGCTGCATGGCTCCAGCCCTTGGCTCTCTGAGTTGCCCGGAGGGAGGGCAATGCTGCCCCCGGCCCCCCAGCTGATATCTTCTCTCCTGGTTTTGCACTTCTGTCTTCTGGCAGAAGCCGAGGTCTTCTGAGAGGCTGGCTACTGACTTGCGCCTGGACTTGAGCTGGGGGGCTGCTGGGGGCAAAAGCAGGGATCGTTGGCCCAGGACCACAGAGGAACTTTGCTGAAGCAGAGCCTGGCCATCTATGATGAAGCTCTCCCAGGCCCACTGGAAAGGGAAGGAAGGCTTCCGAGAGGCTGAACTGAAGAGACTGAAGGAGAGGACAGAAGTCAGAGTGAGGGTCCTCCTGGTCCCCAGTGCACCCCCAGGCCACCCCCAGCCGCTTACTCCTCTGCCTCAGCTGAACCTCGTCCTTTCTTGTTCCGTCTTTGGGGCTTGCGTTTTTTCCTTGTCGTCTGCCCTGCGCTCTGAGACCTCTGCAGCTGGAGGCTCTGACTCTGGAGGCTGTCACGACTCCCAAGGCTCCCCTGGGCAGGACAGGGGAAGAGGGCAGCTCCTGTACCACTCTACATCTCTCCAGGGGCTTCCTCTCTTGGCATTCTGTCCCAGCTGTGGCTGTCTCTAAAACTCCCTGATCACTCACTACCTCTTCTGTTCAAATAGCAAGAGCTGCAGACCCAGTTTGGGGAGGTGACTCACTTGGTGAAGGCAATGTCACTACGCCTGACAACCTGAGTTTGATCCCTGGGACCCACATGACAGAGGAGAGAACCAACTCCCACCTCTTGTTCTATGACCTCGACTTGCACACACACACACACACACACACACACACACACACACACAATCAAAAGCTGCAGACACATAGGCACCAGAACTTTAGGCAGTTACATATTTGACCTTCCCAAAGAAACACCCAGGGAAGTGGAGGCTTGCTATTACCCGTTTTCAGGCAAAGAGTTAGGTAGGCTCTTGCACTTCCAAGAGCAGAGGCCACATGGCTGGTGAGTAGTGGGGCTGGGACCCACACATGTTGTCACTGTTTTCAAATCCCAAATGTGTCACCATTGAACTCTGCTGTGAGAGAAGTGTCCAAATGTTCCCAACACAGAGATGAGAATTGCCCTGATTTGTTTATTGTGTACATACGATTATCATACTGTTCCCCATTAATTTATATTATATTTATTATATTATATTATATTATATTATATTATATTATATTATATTATATTATATTATATTATATTATATTATATTTATTATATTATATTATATTATATTATATTATATTATATTATATTATATTATATTGTTTTTGTTGTTGTTGTCATTTGTTTTGTTTTGGTTTTGGTTTTTCGAGACAGGATTTCTCCGTATAGTTTTGGTGCCTGTCCTGGATCTCGCGCTGTAGCCCAGGCTGGCCTCGAACTCACAGAGATCCGCCTGCCTCTGCCTCCCGAGTGTGTGTGCCCCCACCTGGTGGCTGAGGATAGCTCTGAACTACGGATCCTCCTGCCTCCACTGCCCAAGCGTTGGAACGACAGGCTGCACCAGCATGCCTGGTTTGGACTTCTTTAAAATTAGGAAAACGTCTGGGTATGAAGGCACATACCTGTAGCCCCAGATATTCAGGAAACTGAGATAGGAGCATTGGGAGTTCTAGGACAGCCCAGATAATTTGGTAGGAGCCCTCAAACAAACCAACCCTCCACCACCACCACCTCCCAAAACAAAACCACCACAAAAGCTCACATTCTTTTGGAAGTCGCACAGGGATCTAGACCTAGTGCAGCACAGGGATCTAGACCTAGTGCAACAGACGTGAAGGAGTGACTGTTTTCTAAAAGCTCTTTCCTCCCTGCAGTGTTCCCAGACTGTTCCATCTGTCCTCTTCGGTGCCTGTTCCAGGCCTTCCTAACTGTTACCGGGACCTGAGCTCTAGGCTTCTGGTTCCTCAAGAGCCTCAGCCAGCCCTAGCTTCTCTTGGCCGAAGATGCCGCTGGGCAGTTGGAAGTTCCCCGGCAGTGCCCACCTCTCTCACTTGTTCTTCTGGAGAGATGCTTGATAGAAGTTTGAACAGCCTTGTGGCTGTCCCTGGAACCAAGGGCTCTGTGCTCTGCCTTGGTCTCTCCGTTGTGGCCCTGGCCAACAGTTGGTCAGTGTTTAGCATATTGGTACCCTGCCCTTTCCCACCCCCACCTGCCAGCTCTGGAACTGCCCCCTCTGCCGTCTCCATGACAACCAGGCTGTGACCAGTCTGACTGACTCTAGCAAGAAGTACTAGGGGTCAGCCAGGTGTATGATGCTGACTTCCTCTCAGAGATCGTGTTCAACAGGACCCAGGACTGCACCCTGCCTCTGCCCCTGCTACCTGGCCTGGTGTAAGCTCCTACCTCTTTAGGCCTATGTTTGCCCATCTGTTGTGAAAGGGACATCAGAACTTGCCATCTCAAAGGGTCCTCAGCTCCTGTGAAGATGCCCACTCAGTTGATGCCTGAGGCAGGCCATGTCCCTCAGCCTGCCTTCAGCCTGATTGAGCCTCGTGAGATCTTATACAATTACTCTGCTCTCCAGGCCCATGACAGGGCCAGACCACCGGATATCATGCTCCTCAAAGAGGCAGCAAATGGGTCAGAGCTGAGAATAGCTGTGCTTCAATCTTACATTTTCTGTGCACGCCTATGTGTATGTGTACTTGGGTTTTGTTTTGATTTTTTATGGATTTTGTTTATTTTAGACAGTATCTCACATGTAGCCCTAGCTGGTCTAAAAGTCACTATGTAGACCAGGTTGTCCTTGAACACACAGAGCTCTGCTTGCCTCTGCTTCAAGAGCACTGGGATTAAAGGTGTGTGCTACCATGACCAACAAGTTCTCAGGTTTTTCTGTGTGGATGCTGGGAATCCAACACAGGTCCTTATGACTGTGTAGCAACTGAGGCTCTATCACAGAGTCATCCCCCTTTTACTTGGTTCTGGGATTGGAACACAAAGCCTCATGAATACTAAGTGTACACTCACCACTGAGCACAGACCTTCCCCTGAGTTTTCATCTGTTTCTTACTGTTTCGAGGAGGTTTGTTTGTTTCTGTAAGCAGTGTCTCGTGTAGCCCATGTTAACCTCACGCCCTGTATGTAGCTGAGGATGACTTTGAACTTGATCTTCCTGCTTCCTCCCAAATGCTGGGATTGTTAGCCTGCACCACCACGTCCAAGTGGACTCTTAGATTATTAGAACGTTCTTCACTGGTTTTGGATCTATTCATGTTTGTGTTGTTTTGTGCCAATTTGGGCATTCCACATTTTTCTAGAAATGTTTCCACCTCACTTAAATTTTTATGTTTATTTATGTTATTCTTTGGTATTTGAATATTTTAAGCCTTTCTAGGCTCAAGGGTCTAGCTGTGTAGGGCCTATTGGCTCTGGGAACTCTGGGTTCACCTCTTAGTTGGGGGAGCACATGACGAGTGGTTGGAAGATGCCATGAGGTTTAAAGGGAAGAAGAGAATAGAATTACCGAATGAGTAGCTGCTGGCCAAAATTCAAACTTTCAATTAAAAGAATAAGCCTGTTGTCTTATTCAGGGTTTCACAGAGAAACTCAGTCTTAAAAAAGCAAAATAAACCGGGCGGCGGTGGTGGCGCATGCCTTTAATCCCAGCACTCGGGAGGCAGAGCCAGGCGGATCTCTGTGAGTTCGAGGCCAGCCTGGGCTACCAAGTGAGTCCCAGGAAAGGTGCAAAGCTACACAGAGAAACCCTGTCTTGCTGTGGGATGTTCTGTATGGAAAATGTGTTGCTAATTAGTCAATAAATAAAACACTGATTGGCCAGTGGCTAGGCAGGAAGTGTAGGCGGGACAAGGAGGAGAATAAAGCTGGGAAGTGGAAGGCTGAGTCAGAGAGACACTGCCAGCCGCCACGATGAGAAATAGCATGTGAAGATGCCGGTAAGCCACGAGCCATGTGGCAAGGTATAGATTAATGGAAATGGATTAATTTAAGCTGTAAGAACAGTTAGCAAGAAGCCTGCCATGACCATACAGTTTGTAACCAATATAATTCTCTGTGTTTACTTGGTCAGGTTTGAGCGGCTGTGGGACTGGCGGGTGAGAGAGATTTGTCCTGACTGTGGGCCAGGCAGGAAAACTCAAGCAACACTGTCTCAAAAAACCAAAAAAAAAAAAAAAAAAAAAAAAGCAAAATAACAGGGGAAAAAAAGATTCACTTATTTTTATTTTATATGTATGCGTGTTTTGCCTGAAGTATGTCTGTGTATCACATGAATTCAGTGCCTGCAAGAGGCCAGAAGAAAGCACTGGGCTCCTGGAAGGAGCTACAGTTGTTAGCTACATGTAAGGGCTCCCTCCAACGGAGGGCAGTGACTGACAAGAAACACTGAGAGGTCAAGGCACGGCCAAGGATTAAAAGGAAACTTGGCAACCTTACTTGTTCCCTAGGTCCATTCTCTAGGAAGTCATGCAGAAGGCCCGTTACAGATGTTAGCAAGGCAGAGGAGGGATGTGACAGGGGCTGACTCGATGGCTCAGTTGGTAAGGGTGCTTGCTGCTAAGCCTGATGGCCTGATTTTGATCCCCACATGGAAGACAAGGGACCCACACGGTAGAAGAGGACAGATACATGTTGTCCTCTGATTTCCAAGTGCACCATGACACGTATCCCCTGCCTTCCCTTTTGTGGCACAGGGCTGTTGTAGGACATTATTTCTAGGGAGATATGAAGAAATGTCTTCTCACCCCAGGTAGAGAACCAACAATAGGCCAAAGTACAGACACCAATATGGGTAAGGGGCTCCTTTCAGGTAACTCAGGTGCTTTCAGACAAGGTCTCACTATGGAGCCCTGTCTGGCCTGAAACTTGTTATATAGACCAAGCTGGCCTCGAACTCATAGATCCATGTGCCTCTGCCTCTGGAGTGCTGGTTAAAGGCATGTACCACCACACCATGCAAAAGTGTAATTCTTAACCAGAAGGAAAAGCATCTGTCCCTGAAACAAGCCCAGAGAGTAGTAATCTCCACAAAACAATTCTGCTAAGTCCCTGTCAAAATCTCAGCTGGCGCCGGGTGGCGGTGGCGCATGCCTTTAATCCCAGCACTTGGGAGGCAGAGCCAGGTAGATCTCTATGAGTTCAAGGTCAGCCTGGGCTACAGAGTGAGTTCCAGGAAAGGCGCAAAGCTACACAGAGTCTTGATAAACTGACCTTAAAATTCATATGGAAACTCAAAGGACCCAGGATAGCCAAACAATCTTGTAACAAACACAAAAGCATATCAGATGACATACTTTACATTTTCCCATCTGAAAGTCCTGGTAATAGCTTCAGTTATCAGTCCAGCAGTGGTGGTGCACACCTTTAATCCCAGCGCTCTGGAGCTAAGCAGGAGCATCAGAAGTTCAACATCATCCTTGGCTACATAGTGAGTTTGAAGCTAACCTGAGCTATGTGAGACACTGTCTCAAAAAAATTGGGGGTGTGAGGCAGGGTTGGGTGGGGTGGTGGACTGGAGGGAGGGCTCAGTGGACAGAATCACTGCCCTTGCAAAGGACCTGGGTTTGGTCCCAGCACATGGAGGCTCACTGCCTTCTGTAACTCAAGTTCCAGTGGATCCAGTGTCCTCTTCTGACCTCCAAAGCACACACCTACTGCATAGACATGCAGGAAAAACACTCATATGCATAAAAAAATACAATTAAGTAGTTAATTAAATACAGAATTACCACGTGTCTTAGTTACTGTTCTCTTGCAGTGAAGAGACACCATGACCAAGGCACAAAAGAAAGCATTTCACTGGGGACTTGCTCACAATTTCAGAGGGTTTGTCCATGGCCATCATGGCAGGGAGTGTGGCAGGAGGCAGGCAGGACTGGTGTTGGAGCAGTATCTGAGAGCTTACATCCTGATCATCAAGCAGAGAGAGTTCGAGACTGGGCCTCGCATGGGATCCCCTGTGACACACCTCCTCCAACAAGGCCATACCTCCTAATTGTTCCTAAGCAGTCCACCAGCTGGTACCTAAGTCATTCCCATTCCAACTACCACACCATGTTAGCTACCAGTTCCACTTCAGCATGTATATATACCAAAAGACCAGAAGCAGGGGCCCTGCCGGTGTAATGTTCAGAGTAACACAACAGCCAAAAAGGCAGAGAGGCAGGCAGAGGCCAGCAGGTGTCTGTGGAGGCCAACTTGGTCAACACTGCAAGTTCCAAGCCAGACAGTGCTGTGTAGTGAGACCCGTTTAAAAAAAAAAAAAAGTGTGGTATGTATAGAAGACAAGTCTAAGAAACCAGGAAGGAAGACAAATCCAACACTGGATCCAAGGTGGATACTGGGTAAGGGAGACCCTGTGGCTGGAAGCAGGGATCACTGCCTTACCCCCAGGAACTGGCAGTTGGTCCCTTCACCAACAACCTCCTTGGGTCCCCAGCAGAAAAGGTGGAGCTGAGAGGTCTCTTTCTCGCTCCAATCCTGGTGTCTCTTCTTGCCCAGTACTTGACACCAGGCATGTTGCCGATTTGTTTAGCTCTGCTCATTAGCCCTGTCCTGCCCACCTTTCAGACAAGCAGGACTTCATCCTGAGTCACCTCTAGGCACAGGAGCTGGACAGGTGCACCAAGGAGGTACTCAGCAAATAGAACGAGTGATTGAAAAAGATAGATAATGCAGAGGACCCCGCCTGTATAGGAGGATAAGTCAGTGTGACTCATTCTAAAAGACCACAGGATAAGGCTGGGCATGGTGGCACACGCCTTTAATCCCAGCACTCAGGAGGCAGAGGCAGGTGGATCTCTGAGTCGGAGGCCAGCCTGATCAACAGAGTGAGTTCCAGGACAGCCAGGGCTATGTAGAGAGACTCTGTATCAAAAAACCAAACCAAACCAAAACAGGCTAAATCACTTTAAGTCATTCTAAACAATGGCCTGGAGAGACGGCTCAGTGGGTAAGAGCACTGGCTGCTCTTCCAGAGGACAGAGGACCCAGGTTCAATTCTCAGCACCCACACAGCAGTTCACCAAGCTAGCAAGTGGTGCACAGACACACGCAGGCAAAACACACACAGTAATTTTAAAACAACAATGAGGTCTTGCAGGGGTTGTGGGGTACTTGAGATTGAGTAGCTCGGGCTTGTTGGTTTAGGGCATTCAATGGG